CCCCCCCCCCTCGGCTGAGATAAGCTCCGCCGCAGAGCTCCGCCCGTGACTGACTGCGACAGCGCGACCGTCCATCTCACTTTACAGGAGACAGTGCGCCGGCGCAAGAGCAAGTGTAAGCGCGTCGTACGAGCGTGAATTCCGAAGTCAAATCTGATGTCGCAGCCGTGGCTTTAAACGGTTATAACTCGCGAACAGAATTGCGAGCAATTAATTACTTTTTCAATTAATTTTCGAATTTAATTGACGATTAATATAAGCCTATTCAGTTGAAAATATTTTAATTAACCACTAACTTCAAGAAACTTAATTAAAAATCATTCATTGATTTGGAGAAATTCAATTGAAAACTGTTGAACCGGGCATTTTGTGGGAACGTAGAACAGGTTGCGGTGAACATAAATCCTATATCGTTTTGCAATATTCACAATAATTATCGAGATATTAATTGTAGAAAATTTGTGAATAATCATGCAGGATATGGTAAATGAGTTATAATAGCGACGACTGCCGTCGTGTACTTATACTTTAGGTCAAATTGAACAAAAAAGTCCTCTACCATTTTCCAAATAATCACATACATTTTTAATTATTAATTAAAGAAGATTATTGCACGATTTTGCGTGATAATGCACTCATCTTTTTTAATTAATAATTAAAAATCTGTGTGATTATTTGGAAAATGGTAGAGGACTTTTTTGTTCAATTTGACCTAAAGTATAAATACACGACGACAGTCGTCGCTATTATAACCCATTTACCATATTCTGCATTATCATTCACAAATTTTCTACAATTAATATCTCGATAATTATTGCGAATATCGCAAAACGGTGTAGGACTTTTATGTTTACTGCAATCTGTCCTACGTTCCCACAAAATGTGCCCGGAGGAAAGTGTAAGACACCTTGTATATATATATATATACTATATATAGCTTATATCAATTGTCAATTTAATAACCCTTAATTAATACACTTTTTAATAACACTGACTATGTTCAATCGTTAATCGAATAATCTTTAATTACTTTCGTTCGTTTTAATCGTTAATTCTATAGTTTTTAATTGAATTGCTTCAAATTAATCATTAATTGAATGATTTTTAATTGTTTTTTGTGAAGTCAGTGGTTAATTAAATATAATATTTTTAATTGAATAGGCTTATATTAATCGACAATTTATTAAATTAGAAATTATTTACTCAAATCAATTATTAAATTGAGACAAATTTAATTGATATTTTTATAACTCTGCTCGCGAATAAGTCAACATAGCAATATAAAAAAAAAAGCAATCACTTTGACACGCAAACGTCTATGGTGCTTTTTCATTTGGAAAAGTCAAGTGTCGTGATTGATTAAAGCGCGATCACACGAGTAAGACGTAACCTCTTTCGCTCGCGATCGAATTGTTCAGATTCCTTTCTTCGTTTCGTCTATTGTAATAGTGACGAGATTAATATTGATACAAATTATCATAAAGTAAAGCCACAATTATCGTGATTATCTGCGAATTAATAGAGGATTGTTATGCTCAATTCCATATGCTCTACTCGCACACAAGCGTTGATATGCGTTGTACATTACGTGTATATTTGCAACAGCATTCGTACTCGTGTTGTAAAAATGGTGTTGGACAGCATTATTAATGAAACTTTGACTTGGTTGATTATACACCGATTATTAATGCATTTCATTAGTTAATTGAATTATTCATGATTACATAGCGATTGATTAATTTGGTTGCTGATTTGCTGATGATTCTAGCTTGAGAACATTTTAATTGATTAATTTAAGGTCTAGAAATTGTCGCGTACAATACATAGTCAACGTTATTTTTCTGTATGAAATCGTTATTCTCGTTACCACGCACACGGAAGAGAAAAGAATGGTTGTGTCAACTAGAAAATTAGTAAAACATAGCTTTTTTCTGGCTTTAAGAATCAATTCTTGGTTGCGCTGACCTATCGATTCATTGTCTTAAAAATGTTTTTTTTTCAAGCAGTGCTGATGTATAATGTCGCAATCATATAACGTAATCAAGAATTGATTATTAAAGGTAGAAACAAAAGTTATGCCATATGTTACTATTTTCTGATTGACACAATCATTCCTTTTTACTTGTGCATATTGTGCGGTTCTTATCAGACAAAATTAATTACTATTGATTGAATATGTCTTCATAAGTTTCGTTTAACGTAGCAGAGGGGAATAACGGGGAATTATTTCGATCGAAATTATTTCGATCGGAATCCTTCCCGGACAATTCCAACAATAACTGTCCCGTAATAACTTCCACGATAACAGCCTCCCAGTTATACCGCGGCCTATATTTCCATTACGTTTCGAAATTCTCTAATATCGCGCACGCCACGCGACGGTCGGTAAAAAGAGAAAAATCAATACGCCACATTTCAACGACGCGCGCATTTGCGTCGATTCAATTTTATAGTACATTAAATTCCGTAGCCTGAGTTTCCCATCAGAACCCCTGAAATAATGCACAAGCGCGCTCTCTTATTACTATTGCATCTTGCCGGCGTGCTCGCAGGGCGCGATGGCTTTTTTTATGCGCGAACGACGTCGCGTTTTACATTTTTGCGACGTCACGCCCTGCGCGCGCGGTGTATGCAAATTATTTACCGCGAACGCATCCCTCGTTATTTTCGCTACTAGACGGCCACGCAATATCTTTTAACTCTCTCCCCGCGGCGAAGTTTGCGGGGAAAAAGTCGACGCGAGCGTGCGGCACGTAGCGTCGCGTCGCGTCGCGTCGCACCCCACGCTGTGCGGACGAGGACCGCCATGTACATATATTCGGCGTTATATATTCACGCCTCCGTGCGATTGCATTTCGTCGAAATTTTCCGTACGCCCCTGCGCGCAGCGGCCAGAGTCGGCATAAAAACAACGAGTCATACCTGGCGTCGTCCGTATATCTGACG